CCCAAGGGTGCTGCCTCTGCTGCAGTCCTCTCAAGTGGTGGTTTTTTCCTCTCACATGGCCGAGAGCACTGGGCTAGACCATTCTTCCTCCCTCCTAAAACCCCCCCCCGCTTTGACTCTCATGTCATCACACTACACCACCCAGTATTCCTTCTTGTTGCTGTCATCCACTGACCAAAGGTCACTGCCCCTCATTCCTTGAAAATTTTAGTTCCTGACTGTCACTTGCCAACATCACTCCTTGCTCCTGATTCTTAGTGATCTCAACATTTACACAGATTACCTTCCAGCATCATGTCCGCATTCTCTGCCTTCCCTCCAGTTACTATGGATGAACTAGGTTACTAACGCCAACCTCTCCACACATACAGTAGATCCCATTCCTTCTTGCCTATATAAGCACATACTGAACAATTCTTCCTCTCCTGAATTATCACTTTTCCCATCTCTATGGGATCATTCCCATCAGCCCATCAGCATACAACATTTTAAAAAAATATATAAGTTCTCTTTGACACAAAGTCATCCTCCAGCTACCACTCTTCTTCTTTCATTGCCATTACAAGTCCTCAAAAGAGCTGTATAAAGGCCCATCTGCAACTGCTCTTTCCATTCTCTCTCCAGTTGGCTTTTCCACCAAAGTTGCTTTCTCATCAATGATCCCCAGATATCTCAACTCAATGGTCAGTTCTCGGTCCTCATCCTTCCTGATCTATTAGTAACAGAATCAATCCCTCCTCCCAGAAACACTTTCTTATCTTGGCTTCCATGGGACCACACTCTCCTGATTTTCCTCCTTTTGCACTACTGGCTTCTTCCCAGTCTACTTTGCTGGATCCCCACCATCTTCCTGACCCATTAACAGCTGAGTGCCCCAGGGCTCAATCCTTGGATTTTCTTCTCTTCTTTATCTATATCCACTCCCTTGGGGATCTCATCAATTCCATGACTTTAAATACCATCTATCTATCTGTCTATCTATATACATAGCACACACTGATGATTCTCAAATATATATACTGTCAGTATCTATATAAGATATATATATTTGAGAATCAACAGTGTGTAGTATATACATTATCTCCAGCCTGAACCCCTCCTCCAAACTCCAGACACTACTCACCTGTGTACTCAACATCTCTGCTTGGATACCCAATAAGTACCTCAAACTTACCATGTCTAAAACTAACTCTTCCCCACCCCACCCCCAAAAACTGCTCTTCGCACAGACTCTCCCATCTCAGAAAACAGGAACTCTATAACCCGCATCCCATCTCTCAGCAAATTCTGTTGGCTCCACCTTCAAAATATAGGCAGATTCTGAGTACTTCACAACTCATTTCCCACTACCACCATGGTCTAAGCAAACATCAGGTTACACCTGGATGATTACAAAAGCCTCCTAACTGGTCTCCCAGCTTCTTCCTTGCCCTCCCAAGGTCCATTTTCAACACAGCAGCCACAGTGATCCTGTTAAAATCTAAATCTACTCAAAACCCTCTACTGCTAACCATCTCATCAGATATAAAGGCCCAAGTCCTTACAACGGCCTTTAAGCCACTATATGATGTGACCTTGTTACTTCCTTGATTTCATTTCCTACTATTCTCTGTTTTGCTCACCTGCTTGAGTTGCACTGACTTTTTTTTGTACCATGAACACACCTGGTAAGCTCACACCCCGGGACCTTTGCATTTGCTGCTCTCTTCACCTAGATCATCCTCCCCCAGATATTCACACGGCTCACTCCCTTACTTGCTTCAGGTCTTCTACTCAAATATCACCTTCTCAGTGAGACTTTCCCTGACCTATTTGCAACTGCAAATTCCCCATCTACTTTCCCTGATTTATTTTCATGGAGAGTTCTTTTATCAGCAACTGATCCACTATATATTTTACTTATTTATTTTGTCTTCTCCCCACCAGAATATAAGATCCAGGAGAGCAGCGATTTTTGTCTTGTTCACTGCTGTATCCCACACCTCCCACAGTGCCTAGCATATGGAAGGCATTCAATGAATGTATTAACTGAGCAAATAAATAAATGAGTGGTTAGATTTGCAATGAGATTTTATGAGCCTATGAAATGTGACTCCAGCTTCCATAACGCAGACAATGTCTTGCATTGCTGTTTTCCTGACCCAAGCTGAAGTCATAGATAAAAAACAGCAAAGCAGACTTGGGGTTTTGTTTTGCTGCTGGCTGTTACCACTGTTTTTAATGCAGATCTTAAATATGGTACAATTTTTGAAAATAAAGTACGTGAGAATCAATAATGAAATGCAAAATATGACCTATGACCATATAAAAAGTTAAATGATATAGAAGAAAATAAAATGAGAAGTCAGTCTCTTTTCCTCCCAGTTCCATTTCACAGTTTCTTGTTAATGTTTCTGGAAATTTTTATGTACCTACAAACATATATAAATAAAATTACATATATATTTTATATTTTAACGTATTAACCTACACTTTTTTAAAAAACTTTTTACCTTGGGCAAAAGGAGCCCTGGTGGCACGGTGGTTAAGTGCTCAGCTGCTAAGCGAAAGGTCGTCATTTCAAACCCGCTAGCTGCTCTGCGGTTGAAAGATGTGGCAGTCTTACAAGCGTTTATAAATAAACTTACATTATTTATATATGACTTGGGATAAAAATCTGATCTTTTAGCCTCATCTTTCTGTTTACCTATGCCTTGGTTTAATAAATGTCTGCACTGTTTCCTTAAACTTGGGGCTTAAAGAATTTGTTTTAGCACAAATCTTGATCCTAAAAAATTCTAAGAAACTCAGGGAAAATGTTAGGTGCACACCTGTCTCCATTTAAAAGCACCCTTTCAGTTCTTCTATTTTACATCAACTCCTAGGGTTAAATCTGAAAAGCACCAGGCCTAAAAGGAGGGTCCTTTGAATAAGCTACACAGTCTTTACACATAAATAGAAATATAACTCATAGAGGATCTTACTAAGAGAAGTAATATGCCTTTAAAGTCTACCCTAAAAGGACAAAGCCTTTCCATGGGTTGGGACACTTCACTGGCTTTCCCTTTATGATTCCGGGTAGGGGCTGTTTACTGTTAAGAGACCACCACAGTCCCTTACATTCACTGATGGTGCTACTGACCTTCTTCCCTTTCATAATTTCTCAAGGCCAAGGCATAGGTAAACAGAAAAGTGGAGCTGAGAGAATACAGGAATATATGAGTTGATCACATAATTTAAGCAACATGGCTGTAAGTTACCATCTGCTATAAAAAGAATATGGTAACTTTCAATGTAGTGACTTTGAAAATATCGTATCTGGAAGATGTTACACAATTAACATGCCTCCCCGACTCAACGCTACCCGTGCACATACAATGAGTTTCTTCTTTTCCCAAATGACTTCATGCCATTAGGTCTTTGGGAAAAAAAAAGAAAAAAAATTACTAGCATTTCTTGGGTATGAATTTTCATATTAGAATACATAAAAAATTACTAGCATTTCTTGGGTATGAATTTTCATATTAGAATACATAAAAAATTACTAGCATTTCTTGGGTATGAATTTTCACATTAGAATATGTATAATTATCACTGAAAACTATAAACCTGTAGTGGGTTAAACTTGCACCACTACGTGTCTTTCCCCACCAGCACTTCACAGTGTAGGAACCGGTGCTGGGGGGAATATGATGGTCAATGGAACTAATCAAGTCTTGAGAATTTGCCAGACAGGTGCTTAATGTGATAAAGTACCAAGAGGGGTAGGGGTGCTTAGTGAGAAAGCGGGGAAGGAGACTAACCATGGGATCTAAGCCATATAAGAGGAGGATATGACACCAAGAGAGGGAGCTGTTAGGCTGGGGGGAAAACTTGGGGTAGAGTTAAAACCCACTGCCTCCGAGTCAATTCCAACCCAAAGCGACCCTACAGGAAAGAAAAGAACTGCCCCATACGGTTTCAAGGCTGTGAATCTTTGCAGAAGCAGACTGCCACATCTTTCTCTCGTGGAGCGGCTGGCAGGTTTGAACTGACAACCTTTCGGTCAGCAGCTGAG